CACTATCTATGGCCGTATGTGCTTTTCTGTTCGAGTAGGAGTGCTTATGAAGTAGGTAGCCTCAAGGTAAGAAAACCGAAGCGAACCGGAGGAAGTGATGGTGAATGGCAGGATTAGCATCAACCTGAACGTTTACAAGACAAAGACAGAGCACAATATGAACATGAAATCCTCAAATACAGTCGGTACACGGGTCTCGACAAGATCTAACAACTTTACGCAAGATACGCCCTTCCTCCTTCTACCCTCCTCCTTCCTCGATCCTTCTCTCACACTTATACACCTCATCATACCATTCTTTCAGATACAACCAGACATCTACCAATTAACCCACACAACCTCGGGCAAAACCCCCCTCATAATCTCCCAATGTCCCAGCGCGCTCTCCTGCTGCCACTTCTCCAACAAGCTCGTATCATTCCGTCTCAAAACCCCCAGCTTCTCTGCCTCCGCCACACTGCCATTGGCACCCCTAAGCAGATCCTCTTCCGTGACTTCCCACTTGGGCAACAAGAAGGCTTCTCTGCTCGGAGAGTTGAGAAGGTCGCGGGAGGAAGGGTTGCGGAAGGTAATTTCTTGGGTGGAAGACTTGGTGCAGAAGATGACCATGTTGGTGAAATCACGACCGTTGTGAGCGGCAGCTTGGGCTTCGTCGCGCGGGTGTTCGCGGAAGATGCGGCATGATGGACCGAAGACGGAGCGGATTGTGTTGACGATTAGGAGAGGGGGTGGGTGGGAGAAGTCGCCTGCGTAGTTCTATAGGGGTGATGTGTTAGTGACCGACGGTGGATCAGAATGGTTGGGGGAAGATAGAGGGGAAACATACGATGGCGACGACACCGTCTGGCTTGAGAAGGGAGTTCAAGTTTTGGAGGAATTCGTAGGTGAATAGGGCGACGGGCTCAGCGCCGCCGGTGAAGACGTCATGGATGATGTAGTCAAATTGCCCGACGCCTTGGGTCTGGTTGACGAGACGGTCGGTGTAGCTGACTGCGTCTTCGATGACAGCGGTGTGGTTGGACGGAAGCTGGAAGTACTTGGTGGCGAACTCGTGGACGACGGGGTCGATTTCGACGACGGTAGTGTTGATGCCGTGAGCGACGAGGGCGGCGGGGGTGGTGCCGATGCCGAGGCCGCTGGAAGACGTTAGTCAGAGTATAAGAGGATGGGGAATGGGAAGACGTACATAACCAGAGCTTTCGCCTCATTGTCAGGGACCGGGTGAGGCACCTCAACCAACCTCACAGCCTCCAACATGGCAAAAACACCATAGATGGGTTCAGCAACCTGATTCCCCTTGAACCGACCGGTATCCTCAAACTTCACCCACTCGCCACCAAGCAGACTGTGGTCGCACCTCAACACCCTAAACCCGTCTTTCAGACTCTCCACCACCGAGACATATCCCGTGAGTGAATCCCGGCGGTCCAAGATCTTCCAGCCCTCCTTCTCCATCCCACCATTCAACCAAGAAAGGGCCATAGGCGACGGCAAATGCGGGTTCAAAAGGGTAGTATGCAACAAAACAGGCAACCCAAACAACAAGAACTTGGACGGCGCAATGGTCGTGTACGAAGCGGCCAACAGACCCTCCAGTCCGATCCTGGTCATGTAGAAGTTCGTGCCGATATGCTGCGCAATGAAGCTACTGGTCACCTTCTCGGCCACCTTGTAGAAGCCGAACGAGCCCAGACCAGGCACAGCATCAGCGATGAACTTGGGCAGCGGGCCAAAGTCCGCATACTCGAGGTTCGTCGCGACACAGGCGGAGGAGATGGTGATCAACGGGAAGATGGTCAAGAGCTCCGTGACCAATGGACCATAGGAGCCGCCCAAATACCCGCTGACTCTGAAAAGGAGGTATTGGACAGCCGGAATGTACATTGCGATCAGAGGCAGCAGCTCCACGGGTTCCACTGGCAAAGCGCGATCAAGGAAGATGTTGGAGGCCCAGCCGGTGAAGCAGGCGGCCATGACCAGCTTGGAGTGCCATATCGAGGCGGGAATGGAGCCGTAGACGGGAGAGAGCACGAGCTGCGAGACGTTGGAGGCGATGGCGATCAGGCCGAGCAGGATGAAGCAGTGGATGTAGATGGCGAGTTGGCCGGCCCAGTAGCCCTTTTGGGTGCGAGCCTTTTTGGCGAGGTCCTTGAGTTCTTGCTCGTAGGCTTCTTTGGACTTGGCGAGGAGGTCGGGGGCCGATGTTGCTGTTGTTGCTGTTGCTTTGGGCATGGTGTCGGCTTTGGAGGCTTTCCTCCTTTTCGTTGCCTTGGGGGCCATCGTGTGAGATGATAAGGTGGGTCGGGGGTATCAGATATCAATGGTCATGAGGAGAGAAGGGGAGAATGTCAAGGTGTCATTAATGGAGGAGGGGGAGAAGAAGTGAAGACACGATCATGAAGCACTCATAATGAGAACAAAAGATAAGAGAAAAAGAATTGATAATAGTCTATCCCAAAACAAGCAGCCAGCTGCAATGTGGTCTCAATGATCCCGGTCTCGTCTTGGTGGTTGCATCGCGTTTCATGAGAAAATGAGACCAAGAACAAAAGAGGAAAGGAGCTCTTCTCAATCGCGACGACGGCAGGAGGGGTAGCTTTTGGAGGGGTGGATCCCATTGGCCCTACGGCTGGGGGCTTTGAGCTCTCTTACAGGCCAACGGAGCGACGGACCCATAAATGTGCGCTAACGCGGCCACTAAGGCGCAACACCCGGGGTAGCCTACAGCGAGCTGGAGAAATGTTGGGCATAGCGTCATTGGAATTGACACGTGCAACTCGACTTGCTGCCCATGGAAACTTCCATTCCAGCGTCCCATCCACCCGATGCTTTCCATGGCTGGAGGGGTCCTGAGCCGGATTCCTCAACATTTTTTTTTAAAGGCCACTAAGTCCAAGTCTCGTCCTCCTCCCACTTTTCTTCCCCTCTCGACCTCTCGACCACCAACGACGAACCACCAACGAACCAGACGCACCTGTTTCGAACACTACCCTCCAAATCATCGCCATCATGCCTCTCGTCGCCCAAGGTTACGCCGACCTATTCAACTTTGTTGACTACAGCAAGCAGAGCCTCGCCCGTACGCGACTCCACACCCACATTCACATGCCATTTTCTCGTCGATCTCCAGCTAACAAGCATCGTTGCGCCACAGTCTCTGCTGCTGCCATTGCCTTCAACCCTACCTTCTGGAAGTGAGTATCCTGGCTCCTCTACCTGATCATCAACTAATCCCTCCCTAGCATCGTTGCCCGTAGAGGTTCGTCCGCGCAAACCCAACCAGCCCACCGGCCCAACGGCCCAACGCTCGATAATGAGACCCTCTAACACATCTCCACCACAGAATACCGCACCAAGTTCCTCACCCGCGCTTTCGGCGGCAATGCCCAAGTAGCCTGCTACTTCCTGGCCGCCACCATCTTCGGCCTCGGCCTCGTCCGCGACTTTCTCTACGAGCGCGCCCTCCGTGACCAGCCCTCGCACCCGCTCCTCGAGGGTACCAACGTCAACTATGCCGCCTATGCCCTTCTCGGTCTCGGCAACCTCTTCGTCATCACCTCTACACTGCGCCTGGGTATCACCGGCACCTTCCTCGGTGACTACTTTGGCATTCTGATGGATAGCATCGTTACCGGCTTCCCCTTCAATGTCACCAGCGCTCCCATGTACTATGGCTCCACTATGAGCTTCCTCGGCACCGCTCTGCTCTACGGCAAGCCCGCCGGTCTTCTTCTGACTGCTTGGGTTCTCTTCGTCTACATTGTCGCTATCCAGTTCGAGAACCCCTTCACTGCCGCCATCTACGCCAAGCGCGACAAGGAGAGGGCCAAGGCTGCCGGTACCGGCAAGAAGGAGCTCTAAATTCGAGCCAAACAAAAACACAATCTGCAAACGAAGGCGATTTCCTGAGCCGTTGACTCAGTCTCGGGGATCGCCGTGCCCAGCCGAAAGGTTGGGCATGTGAGCATGACGTAGGTCCCATCCTTGTGTTCCCACCCTACGTGCAACTCCCAGACAAACAACCGCTGACTCAACCCGTGTCACCAGGAAAATTATACATCGCTGGGCTACGTACCTACGCACGCATGCAGTTCAAGTTTGATGGTGATAGTCAAGCTGGCCTGTCTATGCGGTCAAGTCGTAAGCCTCCGTCTCTCAACGAACGGCATTATATGGTGATTGTTATAACTGGTGCGTGAAAGAAAGCACCGGACGAACAATGTTAAAAAAGCCTGCCAAGATATCAACGAAGAGAAAAAGAAAGGGTGATGGTGTTGTGCGAAGAAACAGTGTGCGTCCGGTGCGTTGGCCATCAACTGGTTCCAATGGAGAATGGAGACCAAAATTGGTGTATGTGGGAAGATTGTTTGAAGATAGGTACTATTGTACAAAGATGGATATGTATATATATGACATAAATAACGCGAATGATATGACTGGGCTCGACATTAATCAGACCCCCTTTCCCCTCTACCCTTTGTTGCCTTTGTTTGCGGCAGTGATGCTTTATGACTGTCACCAGGGGAGAAGCACTCATGGCCTGACGGCGGAATGACCACGCCGTACGTACTCATCTGGTCTTTGTGGCCACGATGGATGTATAAAATGCCCACAACCTGCCACATCATAATATTCCTTCTCCATGACGAACTAGAGGTAGTCAAGCAAGTTCTAAACACCAACGGAGGCTATGATTATCCCCGTCCAGGCTTTTATCAACTCTCTCTTAGCACCCCAGTGCATCGAGCTGAACCTCAGACGTTTGCCTCGCTACGACCACCACCTCGATTTTAGGATTCGGATCAAAGGGGAAGGAAAGGAAGGAAGGAATGAAGGGATCTGGGAAAGAAGCGAAATAGAGCCAGCCCATCTAGAAGTTAGGTAGGTAGGTAGATTGCCGTCGCCGCCACTGGAGGACTGGATGGAGGAGTGGAGTGGCTTCTCGTAAGGTTTTACCAGCAAGGGCGGTCGGCAGATGGTGAGATGGGTAAGGTTGCTCTCTCTCTCTCTCTCCGGCTGCTGAGAGTTTTCGCCGTCCGTCGGACTCCTCGTCGTCGTTGTCGTCGATGATGATAATCGAACCCGGCGCGACGCTCAGCTCGTGCTAAGGATGGATGCTTTCGAGAGAGAAAAACAGACCAGAGGGCAGGCAGGAGGTGACGGGGGAACGATGATGTTCTCCACGTCTGCCTCCGACGACAGCAGCCTTTGCTACTATCGCTTCGGTGCCACGAAGACGATGTACCACAAGGGCTATGATGTCAATATGGACGCGAGCGTTTATGTACTTAGTGGTTCGAACAGATATGGCCCAAGCATGCTCCTATTCTAAGACCATCGTATCTAAACAAAACATATTGGACAATAAATTCATCGTTGGAACTGGAGCAACGCCTTGTATTATTCCCCGTCGAATATTGGACTATTAACTATCGGTTACCAAGCTAACACTGAACCATACACATGGTGTGTTCGTATGTCTTGGGTAGTCCGTCTGCCCTCAATCCAGTTACCGGGAGGTAAGAGGACGGTGAAAAAGCCGGGCTGCTCAAGTTCAAGCCGGCACTGGACTCTGTGGCATGCTAGGCCTGGGTTATGGCTTCAGGTGGGAAGAGCCAGGAGTATGAGCTTGATGTATAGCTACCTACCTCTAGCCAGGTTCCAGTCGGGATACATGTATGATTTCGCCATGGATTAGGTAATGGCATCTGGATCCCATTCGATGGCTCCGCAACCAGCAAATCAAGTACCGTAGTTTGCGCGAGCAACCCTCGTCTTGTTTTGACTTCGACGGCAAGATCTCCAAGGCCGCCCGGTCATGCTGGTCGTCGCGTGGAGTGCTGGCGTTTTTGGGAGTTGTAGTGCCTGGATAGAGTAGGACATAGCCACCACACCACATCGCCGTCTTGTGACTTGGGAGAGACGTACGTCCCATTCTCTTTTGGCTTTGTGGTCGCCGGTCTCTAGAGGAGGTAGGGATCTTCCTAAATTTCGCGAGGAGCCGAACAAATGTCGCAGGTTTCGCAATGGAAAGTCTTCTTGCAAACATTTTCTTGGTACGTTGCTGCTCTGAGTCTGATGCCTTTGGCGTTCACGGTGGGCAGAAACCACTCGACGGCCTCGATCTGACCGATGCGTATAGGCTGCCCATTTCTTGCAGGATGGTGTTCTGGTTCAAGACATGGACGTAGCTAAACCCAATGTCTACATGGGAGGGAGCAGGCCGGTTGAGACCGGCCGCGTGAATGCTCGAATACAATGTTCAACCTCGATATCGGCGCTTTAATTGATTCCAGTTGTCCACCATGTGGACGCGTTCTGCCTGGGACTGGTCTCAGCCGATCCTGTCTATTTGCAGCCCAACCTTTTGGAGGATAGCGCAGAGTGTCATAGAAAGAGTTGGTATGTGCCCTGTTGCCGATGAGAATGCGACACTTTGCGCCCCTGGGTCGAAGACTTTGCAAGGGAAATTTTCTGCAGAACCGGTCCAATCATGGAGTTAGGATGGTAGGAGTCACTCGGCAGAGTGATCAGATGAAAGAACAGATCATTTTCTCTGAAGAGTCCAACGATATGATAGAGGAGATGCGTTGGATCTTTGGGGAATTATCCGGACTTCAGACGAAAAGCTCGTAAGTCTCAGGAAGGGCAACGGTCTTCAATACGAGACACTCATTTCTCTCCTTTCTCCCCTGCCAGTGACCCAGTATTCGTTGTCCTGTGTGACGTACCGTTACAAGCACAGGAGTATTATCGCTGGAATAGAACAATAGAGTAACGGAGTAGTAGCCAAAAGGTACTGGTAAGTTGTGATAGCTATTGCTTGCTGAGGAGCCCTATATAAGAGGTCTGGGAGACTTCTTTATATAAGGGTCCTCTATGGTGCGCCGCTGCGCCGCTGCCGCGGCGCCGGTACTGCGGCGCCCTCCTTATTGGTTTATGTAGCTAATTACATAAGTGATCCCTTATTGGATCGTAACATCCTGGTTGGTCCGGACCTGCAACTGCATTGATACGCGGCTTCCTTGGGAGTTGTAGATATGAGGCCCAGGAGGGAAGGCGCAACCCGTCGCTTCGAACCGAAACTCCCGCTTCCTACTCCAGCCGCTCAATCCACCGCCACTAAGGGGCGCGATGCTAACAAGCGAGGTCGGAACGGGGAAGACACTCATCTATGGCACAGCACTCTGGATGGAATATCTTTGACTCAAGGCCAAACATGACCGAAACGAGCCCATAGAGGCCTACCCGAGTCTCATCATCCTCCCGCCAAGTAGCAAAGAAAGTCGGGCAAACCATCCGGAAACGACGAATATTTCCCTCTTTAGCCTCCCTCTCAGGAGGTGGACAGTGAGTGGAAACCAGTCGCTTTCTTCTCGAAGACTATGCATGGCGCAGAGCACAACTACTCCATCTACGATAAAGAGCTGCTGGCGATCGTCCGAGCCCTACAGTGCTGGAGGGCCGAATTAGTAGGCCTGCAGACACCATTCTTGGTTATCACGGACCACGAAGCCTTGAAGTACTTCAGCACGAAGCGGCTGCTCAACCTTCGCCAGGCCGGGTGGGCAGAGTTCCTGGCCCAATACCACTTCGTGATCTCTTACCGCCCAGGAAGGGATAACGGCGCGGCGGACGCGCTTTCGAGAAAGTCGCTCGATTGGGAGTCGCGAACTAACCTGAACGGGGCCCGTCTGACGACAAGGGAAAGGCTTAACCGCGGAGATGCTCAAGACATGGTTAAGAAAATACAAGGTTACCTTGCTAAAGCGAGGGAATTGATGACGAAGGCGCAGGACGGGATGGCGAAGCAGGCAAACCAGCACCGACGGGTGCCCGACTTTGGCGTCGGGGACAAGGCGTTCATCATTAAACGAAGCGAGCTGTCTGACAGGCCTAGTAACAAGCTGGACCTCCCGGTAACCAGCCGTTGGTTCAAGATCAAGGAGAAGTGCGGACATTCCTATCGTCTCGAAGTACCGGAGGGATGGCGAAGCACCGACGTCTTCCACGCAGACCGCCTGAGGAAATACCCAGACAACCCACTACCAGGACAGCACATGGAGGAACCGGCTGGGGAATACGTGGGAGACGATGTCGAATGGGAGATGGAAGAGATTCTGGCATCGAAGATATATCGTGGGAGGTTTCAGTACAGGGTAAGCTGGCGGGGCTGCGACCCAGACCCAGAATACTACAACGCGCGGAACTTCAAGAATTCAGCTCGCCTCATCAAGGCCTTCCACGAGCGATACCCAGACCAGCCGGGTCCCCCCAAACGACTTGATCATTGGCACAGGCGGCGGACGCGGAAGAGTTCGATCCGGATCACGACAACGATAACGTGCCCGCGAGAAAAGGGATATGACTGACAAGACGACACGTCGGTGCGAGGAAGTGATGTAAGGAGGTGATGCGAGATTTTGGGGTCTAAACCCACTTTATATATATTCTAGCTTTCTGTGCATTTTTGCACGACTCGGGACGAGTCTTTTTCTACCGGGGGGTGATATTACGGCACTGGCAGATGGGTCCTGGCACGTGATGTCGTGCCGCGTGCA